AAGGGTGTTGGATTTTATCAAAGGCTTTTTCTGCATCAATTGATAGGACCATATGGTTCTTGTTCTTTGCCTTGTTGATGTGATGGATTCTATTAATTGTTTTCCTTATGTTGAACCATCCTTGCATACCTGTTATGAATCCCACTTGGTCATGGTGAATTATTTTTTTTATGTATCGTTGGATTCTGTTTGCTAGTATTTTATTTAGGATTTTTGCATCAATATTCATGAGAAATATTGTCATCTTTCTTCTGCAGAGTAGCTGGAGGATCCAAACCATGTGTCTTTGGATTAGCAATGCAACTACTTACTACTACACCATGACTTGGATTAGGTGCACATTAGTCTTTAAACTGGTATTAAATTTCACATAGCTCACTTGCATGCATTTACTAATCTGTAATAAACAGTGTCACCCCTGTTTGGGATTGTACATCTGAAAAGGTATTTTGGTTCTGTAAGAAAGTTCTGTAGGACTGAATCCATATTCAAAGAGTTTGTATTAGTTTATAAAACATAAATGAATGGGAATGATTGTATGAAACACCGTGTGAATGGAGAATAGTGTGAAATACAATGTGTATGAACCTTGTAAGAAAATAAGTATAAAATGAAATTCTTTTTAAAAGAGGTGACCTAATGGCAAGAAGCTGCCCTGCAATCTCTAAGGCGTGCAGTTCGAGGCCACTAGCCGTTATGCAGGAAAAGGATGGGCAATCTCCTTCTGTGCAATTAACTGCCTCTGAAAACGCTCCAGAGGGTCAGCTATGGGTTGGTTTCTACTCTATGGTACACAACAACAACATAGAACTCAAGAGATAAATGAAAGCCATATTTGGAAGGAAAATCTTTGCTGTGGTGGGAAAAAAAACCCACAAAATACTTCAATACAGATCAGTAAAGACAAGTATGTTTATTCTTATTTTGCCTATAGTTAATATGACATTGCTCTTAGGTCCTCAAATTATCTAAAATAGTTAATACTATTGGCCTCACCCTTGCTTATTAAAATTCTGTTTTGAATTTCCAATTACTTTCCCAATTCTCTTCTTTCTTTCCTTTCATTAGTTCTCATTGCTTGCCCTTTAAATGTACAAATTCCTCCAAGGTTTTATCCTTGGCTTTTTTTCTAGTTCTATACTCTCTCTTCAGAAATGTTGTTCTTAGATGCCATCAAGTCGAGTACGATTCATTGCAACCCTGAGAGCAGCAGATCTGAGTCCTGTCATATCCTGTGATATCATCGCGATCTCTGATATACTCCAGTCTATTCCTGCAGTCCCTGTGTCAATCCATCTGGTTGAGGAACATCGTGTTTTTCACTGATCGTCCATCTTTCCAAGCATGATGTCTGGCTTCAAGGAATACTGTCTCCCAGCAACACACCCGAAGTATGTGAAACAAAAAGTATGCTGTTTTTGCTTCCAAGAAACAATTTGCTGCACTTTCTCCAAGACTTATCTGTTTGTTCTTTTGGCCATCCATGGA